TAGAACTAATTTTTGGAATATAATGATTCGTTATTAACAAAACTTATCATTAAAAGATCAAAGTTTAAGCCACTTTTTGTTGAAACAATACTACTATGTTTACCACACAAAAAAAAAAAATTAGTTTTTTTTTTTTTCAATTTTATTAACTCAAAACTTTAAACAATAAAACGTCAAACTTTTTGAATTTAAAATACAGAAAAATATTTAGTGTTATTAAAATATTAAAATTTTTTGCTGTTTTTTTTTTTATTCAAAAAGCAATTAAAACCACTGCTATTTTAGGACTTTAAACTAGGTAATTTCAATGAAAAACACTGGGTAATTTGAGTATGCTTATATTATACAAAAATGGCATTTTTAAACAGTCAAAACTAAATGTTTCTATGCATTGTTTTTCAAACAAAAATGGATTGGATTTTTAGCTAACATTTTTTTTACGAAAATTTAATCTCATTATTTTAGCACCAAAATTTTGCGCCACAGATTTATTCATGCAGGATGATATTATTTTAACAACACAAAAATTTTAACAGCGTTTTAATTAGATAATAGCCGCTAATAACTGCATATAAGTTTGCGCTAATTGTATTGGTTCCTATTATCACCACATAAAGTTGATTCCAAAAATACAAAGCAATTTCACTTCACTTCAAAATACTTCAACTTTAACTTCACTTCAAATATATATATATATATATATATATATATATATATATATATATATATATATATATATATTACTATATATATATATATATATATATATATATATATATATATATATATATATATATATATATATATATATATACATACATATTCGAGTGGTCCTTAAAATCAATTTTTTTCAAAAAAGTCTGCTTTTATCCACAAAAAGTGTTCTATATAATAAAATAACACTAGATTTAAAAAACTTTTGACTAAAAAAATACTTCATTGGGTGCCCCAAGAACCTTGAACAGGTCCCTAATATTATAAAAAAAGTTTTTAATAAAAATGTTATGTTGGGTCAAAAAGAAAATTTTAAAAATAATTATTTTATAAAAAACATATTGAAAATGACTAAGCGCCTATCTTTATCTAGTTAACATTGTTAACTCTGGTTTAATTAAAAATAGTATTATGTTTTTTATCAAAACAATCATCACTCACTTAATTCAACTTAAAAAAAAAAAAAATGCATAGAAGGAAGATGATATACCAGCTGCATTAACTGATATGAAAGAAAATAATACATCACTGAGAAATGCTGTTTTCAATCACAGATTTCCAGTCTCAACAATCAAAGATTGCAAAAATAACAACAAAGGTTTTCATGGCTCAGGCATAACATCGGTACTCCTAAATGAGATAGAAAAAATGATGATGCATACGTTCCAATCATTTGGTTATAGTTTAACCCAAACACTGGGGTTATGGTTTAACCAAAATGAACTCCTCAAATTTGTAACCGGCTGCCTTAAACGCAAAGATCAATTGCACTTACTCAGAAATGGCAAGCCTGGCAAAGTCTGGTTTTATGCCTTTATGAAAAGATGGGCAAAAGAAATTTGACCAAAAAAATTGAACAAGATAGCATCTAACAAAGCTGGTTTTATGCCAGAAATAATTAATCGTTATTTTGAATATACCACTAAGGAATAGTGACACGTTCAAAAAAACGTCAGATTAACAAATAATGAAACCCAGAAGTTTTACCAGTCAACAGACTGGTAAAAATTTATTATACTGTGTAGGCCTTGGCATGAATCGAGAGCAATTGCGCCCGTCACATTTAACACACTTGCCAATGGAGTATTTACAAATTGCAGGCATGTTAAACAATTATG